AAACATGGAATTTTGGCATAATCTTGCACCTAAGTGTCTGATATTCAAATTTCGCTTTCTGTGTCAAAACTATTCGAATTTCCTCACTCACGTTGCTACGACTGAATCGGCTTTTCAATTCTCTATCCAACGATGCCAAAACGAATTCTGTGACTCGAATGGTTCTTGAGAAATTTCGAAAAAAGCAGCATCATGTTCAAGTGGATTTTGCAACTCAAAAAAAACCACGCAAATCTAAAACTTCTTAAATTCAAGCATTTTTTGAAAAAACTGCCAACACTTCCTTATTGATGGTTCACTTTCCAAAAAGGCCATTTATTTCTTTCTAGAATGATGTACAAATGAGCATTCTTGCTCCTTTTGCCTCCGAGAAATGAGCAAAAATGGGACAAAAAACATCAAATTTTGGCATAATCTTGCACCGAAGTGTCTGATATTCAAATTTCGCTTTCTGTGTCAAAACTACTCGAATTTCCTCACTCACGTTGTTACAACTGAATCGACTTTTCAATTCTGTATCCAACGATGCCAAAACGAATTCTGTGGCTCGAATGGTTCTTGAGAAACTTCGAAAAAAGCAGCGTCCTGTTCAAGTGGATTTTCATCACCTTCAATTCAAAACTTCATTCATTCAACATCACCTTCAATTCAAAATCCCAATGAGCAATAATTTCTACATAAATTTAGTGTTCCCGTTTTATATCGATATTTCGGCACGTTCTGGAGATAAATGAATTCAACGAACGTTTGATTGTCTTGACGGTCTTGATAACACGCTAAACCAAAAATGTAACAAATCATATACAATTTTAAATATTCGTATTTAAACTCGTAATAATTACTTCAAAGTGTCCATTTTTGAGACAACATTTTGTGAGACCTTCGAGTTTGGACCAACATATTGGGTAGGATCTTTGTCAACTCTATCGTTCATTTGAGACTAAAATGAGGAATCCACAGGGTCAAAATCCGGAGTTCTGGGCGGCCAATCCAACGATTTGGGTAGAAACGTTCTTTATTTCTATAGCATGCCCCAGATATTCGAGCTGCTTCCTCTTTAGTGGTGCACATTATTCTGCATCTTTTTTCATTCTTTGAATACAGTCCTGGCTTTTCCTATGCGACTTTTTGTCTCTTGTGCGTTGTGCTGAGTTGAAGATGTTCCAACCGTTTGAGAAACTCATCCTCCACGTTATCCGGACCTGCAGCTTTGGTGTTTTTGAGCTGTTTTATTGCCATCTGCACCTCGTGATCAGTACAGGGCTTCCGGTCTTTGGTCTTCAGATCCTTGTTGGCGATGATAGTTATGTTAAAGCAAAGAAGAGAAGATTTTCGAAAAATTATTAATGCTGATGTTTGTTTGCAATTTCAGTTTGCTGGTCTGGACTTGCAGAGCCGCAGCAGTAGCGGCCGCTACGTCCCCCCTCACCTACGCAACAAGCAATCCGGCTCGGGAAGCGGCTCATCCGCTGAGCCGGGCGGCTACGAGAAGGAGAGAGATAGAGGTGAGTCCCGCGGAGGAGGAGGAGGAGGCGGCGGTGGCGGTAGAAGCGGCGACTTTTCCAACTTTAACACCCGCGGGCGGCGCGACCAGAACGGGGACGATCGGGCGGACGACTGGGGCCGCAATGGCGGCTCGCGCAACCAAGATAGGTATGAACCCGAAGCGCCCGTATCAGGGGGTGTATGGCTAACAAATGGGGCTTGCTTAGGGAAAGGGAGCTGCCGCGCAACGACCGCTGGCAGGAGTCCGAGAAGCCGAGGGGCGGCGAGCGCTGGAACCCGGACAACGCGGGCGGCGGCGGCGGCGGCAGATGGGCGGACAACCGCCGCAATGAGAGCGACTGGACAGTTCCGCTGCCACGCGATGAACGAGTGGAGCTGGAGCTGTTCGGCACCGGGAATACCGGAATCAACTTCAGCAAGTACGAGGACATTCCTGTTGAAGCAACCGGGGAACAAGTGCCGCATCACATTGCATCTGTATGTATCAGTCCAGGCTGGATTGTGTCGACCCTAACCGGATTGGTTTCAGTTTGAAGAAGTACAGTTGACCGAGATTATCCGCAGCAACATTTCGGCCGCCCGATACGACACTCCCACTCCCGTGCAGAAGTACGCGATCCCGATAATTCTGGGGCACAGAGACGTGATGGCCTGCGCGCAAACCGGCAGCGGCAAAACTGCCGCCTTTCTGGTGCCCATCCTGAACCAGATGTACGAGGGCGGGCCGCCCAATATACAGCAGGGGCGCAGCCGCCGCAAGCAGTACCCCCTTGGGCTGGTGCTGGCTCCCACCCGAGAACTGGCCACTCAGATCTACGACGAGAGCAAGAAGTTCGCTTACAGGGCGCGAGTTCGGCCCTGCGTCGTGTAAGTTGCCGTCAACTTAGTTGGCTTCTACTGCTAAGGTTGAGCCACGTTCTGCAAGTATCCTATACCACCCTCGATTTTGCATTCCTATATAACAACCCCGTCGGAGATACAGTCGTGTCTTCGGCGACTCCCTAGCCGAAAAGCCCCCGGGCCAGACGGCATCCCTTATTTACTCCTCAAAAACATTGTGCTAATAGTAGAAATAGTCAACGCAGTCCTTAAATTGCAGCACTTCCCACAGGACTGGAAAAACGCTGTAATAATTTCTATCTTAAGGCCGGGCAAAAACCCGACTGATCCCGCCTCTTATAGGCCAATTTCAGCATTTAATAAACTTCAAAGTACGGAAATGCTGCTTCTCGATATGGAAARGGCCTTTGASRCAGTTTGGCACACAGGCCTGCTGTACAAGTTGTTTGCCGTACATTCACTGCCACTCTACCTAGTTTCCCTAATAGTCTTACCTAAAAAACTTCAAAATTACAAAAAATTACCGATAATTTTGCATGAAAGCTTGTTGTCTAAAACTGCATGAGTTTATTTTCATATTGTGGCGAAAAAGCCCGACTCCGAAGGAAGAGGGCTTTTTCGTTCCAATTTGAAAATAAACGAATGCAGTTTTTACAAGACAACAAGCTCGAATGAAAAATTATCTGTTTATTTTGATGCACTAGTGTAATTTTGATGAATATTTCCCGAGTAAACAAGGTAAATGTGGATTCATTTTATTTCTATTATATTTTATTACACTTTTAATTTCATTACTTATGTTTATTAAATATAATTTGAATATCTTAGGTATGTCAGGAAGACATTTGATGTCTGATTCATGATGAAAAGACACCTGTCAAATATTTTTCGTAAACAATGCAATTATCGTTGAGCGATAATTGCACACTGTGCAATTACCGCTCTAATTTTTCGATAATCGCACACTTCAAACGGACAGATTATCATACGAGGGAAATATTCCGGGGAAATTGCACAAGTGCTTGAAAATTACCGATAACTTTGCATGCAAGCTTGTTGTCTAAAAACTGCATGAGTTTATTTTCATATTGTGGCGAAAAAGCCCGACTCCGAAGGTGGAGGGCTTTTTCGTTCCAATTTGAAAATAAACGAATGCAGTTTTTACAAGACAACAAGCTCGAATGCAAAATTATCTGTTTATTTTGATGCACAAGTGTAATTTTGATGAATATTTCCTGAGCAAACAAGGTAAATGTGGATTCATTTTATTTCTATTATATTTTATTACACTTTTGATTTTATTACTTATGTTTATTAAATATAATTTGAATATCTTAGGTATGTCAGGAAGACATTTGATGTCTAATTCATCATGAAAAGACACCTGTCAAATATTTTTCGTAAACAATGCAATTATCGTTGAGTGATAATTGCACACTGTGCAATTACCGCTGTAATTTTTCGATAATCGCACACTTCAAACGGACAGATTATCATACGAGGGAAATATTCGCTGTGAGTTTTTTTGAAAATTATCGAATGGATGAGTGAAATAATCGCGCAAATTTCCTAACAATAAAATCCTATCGCCACTCATGGTCCAAAATACTCCAATCAAGCCAGTAAAAGAGGTGAAATACCTGGGATTCAAACTAGACGCCCGACTCCATTGCAACAAGCATGTTGACTATGCTATACAAAAGACTTTCATGGCCCGAAGAAAGTTGTACTCTCTTCTGTCACCTCAAAACAAACTTCTCCTCTACACCTCCACCATAAGGCCCATACTGACTTACGGTTCCCCTATCTGGCACTCTGTCTGTGATTCAAAGGACTCAAAATAGGTTCCTGAGAGGCGTCCTATCGGCTGCCCGATACGCCAGAATAACCGAAATGCACGAAGCTACAGGGATGGCCTATATAGCCGACTATATAGATGCAATCGCTGCTAAATTTTATCCTAGCGGAGCGCAAGGCTCAGCCCTTGATATTATCCTTATGCTCAGACCTTTTTTCCTTAATGAATGCCCCTCCAATAAAGCCAAACCGCCACTTCAAGACTGTCTCCTTACGTTGTCGTGCGTATGGCTAGCTGGGGAATGTCCATGTTAGGACACTGCCCAGGTAATGGACGACTATTTAGATAGCGCCTATTTAGATCCTGGACAAAGAGAGCAACTGGCCAGGCACGGGAGGGTCTCCTGAACGTTTTTGTTTTAACTTTGTTTGTGCGTTTATGAATGCGAATGTTTAATAAATTTTTATCTGTCTATCTGCAGGTATGGCGGAGCGAATATTGGCGACCAGATGCGCGAACTGGACCGCGGCTGCCACCTCCTGGTGGCCACTCCTGGTCGGCTCCTGGACATGATCGACCGCGGACGCATCGGTCTGGACCACTGTCGGTACCTGGTGCTGGACGAGGCCGACCGGATGCTCGACATGGGGTTTGAGGTGCAAATCCGGCGCATTGTGGAGAAGGAGACGATGCCCTGCACTGGCGAGCGTCAAACGCTCATGTTTTCCGCCACGTTTCCGCACCCTATTCAGATGCTGGCGCGCGACTTTCTGGACAACTACATTTTCTTGGCGGTCGGACGGGTTGGCTCCACGTCCGAAAACATTACCCAAAAGGTGAGTGGCAACGGGTCCATTTTTAGAGCTGCGTTTGGGGAGCACTTAAAGTCTGATTTTAGCGCGATTTGAAGGAAGACTTCATAGTCTCGAGACTGAAGTGTTTTCTATAGGGTGTGCAGGTTTCAACTCGCCACCTGGTCTGGAATCG